AAACTTTGTCCACATGCATTAGTCTTGGCATTTATCATATCTAGCTAGTGTAACCTCACAGTGATTTCATATCGGAGTGGAAAAAGGTGAATTTTCAAGAAAGATTTATGAGATATTACGTGTACCGCTACGCTAACGGAAATCTGATGTCATTTGCAGGTTCAAATCTTTTGACCTGCGAAGTCATGGAACGAGTCTCTAAACGCCTCAAAGCGAGATATATTAAATCTTTGAGTACACTAGTTAAAAGGATTCTTGCTGTTGTTGCCCAGTTCAGCCAGCCCGTAGCTCGGGGCCTATGTGCTGGCATGGGATGAGGCAGCGCCTTCTCTTTCTCAAGAGGCGTCGCCGATTTATTGGCGCCGTTAATTATGTTGCCTTATCTCTCTAAACTTGTATTGAGATTTATTTGTGTTTATGATGTTCTTGGTTTTGATTATACAAAATTGCTATGGGTTTCTCAAGAAGAATGTTCTGCGGTGAGGAGTATATCAAATACAATAGTCTTCTGTTGCAACTACGTCGCCATTTGGTTTCGAGACTTTCAACTTGTTCATGTATGGGTCACATCTCACCTTGTTTTATACTTATGTACTCTCATGCATCTAATTCCCTTGCTTTAAAATAAAAAAAAAAGGGGGAAATTAAGTGTTTTTACGTACATAGAGCTAATAAAACAATAAAACATAAAGTGTCAGAAAGAATAGAAGGAAGTGAAAAGGTAAGACGAGAGAAAGAGAGAACATAGACTTATCCTGACTCGACCATGGTTAGAATAGATAAAGAGTAGTCCTTGGACCAAGTTAGTTTAAGCCTTGGACAAAGTCAAGTTAAGAGATTTGGGGATAAAAGACATTCATAGCCCAACAAAGGGGGCAACTCCTTCGACAAGTTATGCTATTTAAAGCATAGAAAAACAATCTTTAAATGGATATAAGTTCTAAGTAGTTGTCTTTGTAAACTAATTTCGTTTGTTGCCAAGTTTCTTCTGTGCGTTTGGGTTGTGACGGTAACAAGTGCGTTACTTAGAACACGAGTAAGTACATAGAGAGAAAGAGAAGTACAGTCTGGACAACGTACATTGCTTAATGCGAACAGCACCTGGACGATTATTTCAGCGTAGGTGGAACCGCTGTACGCCAAGAAATGCAAGTATTTTATCTCGATAGGCTAAAGTTGAATATGAGTATTATATGAGTATTTCTTGCTTCCACCAAACGGTTGGAGTCATTCGCGCGACCAGAACTAGAGAAGGAATCATCTGCACCATCCGAATCGCATGGGATGGTCCTGGCATTTTTTATTATGCCACCTCGAATCACACAACGAGGATGCATTTAACTAGAGTACTTCCCTTTCATTTTCAATCTAGATCCTCACAAAGTGGGTGTGACATTCATTTAATTTACACTTCGTGGGCATGGCTCAAACCGGTATCGATTTTCATTATTTTCAATGCTCATGTATTCATCAAGTGAAGCTTCTGGAAACTTCTGCGAACCACCAAGTGAAGATTCTGCTACTGGAACATACGGTTCCTCCGTCTTGAAGCCCATGGCGATGGAATCATAATTTTGCGTATTGGTTGGCACGAAAATTCCAGTGTAGCTGATTTACAAAAAACTTAGCTGAATTTCGTCTGCATGTATTCACTCGTTTTTTTGAAGGATCTTATAAATTACAACACAGTCTATATTATAATTAATTATTACTCTGAGAACGAACTTTTGGTTTATTAAACCTTGTAGTTTGGACAACTTGACATTTACTGTACTAGAAGTTTAATGTATTTGATGAGTTCCTTTTCTAACGGAAAGCTTATTTGCCTGCCACTTCAGCTACCAGATCAACGTGGCGGTATCTTTCAAATGAATGACATCATATACACATTTTTGTGTGCGTATCTCTATTTCGTACCGACGGTACGAAGTAAGTTAATTGAAAAGAAACAAAAGGGGGAGCATTTCAAGAAAAGCACATGCAGCATGGACTTGATGTGTTCAAACGGAATGTTCGAACTGGTCTGTCCGCAGTTTCAGGATGCAACCCAGATTGTAATGTAAGACCCGGCTTCTCTCGTACTTTTTATAGAATAGCTACAAAAATAGACAGTGAATCAGTTACAGTACTTGGAAGAAACTCAGAACGTATAGCGAATTTGGCCCCAAGATATGGATGTGTCAGCTATGCATTTGGCCGGACGGAATTCGATTGAACCAGTTCATGTCTAATGTGGACATGAGATGTGCATAATTGAGTAGAAATCTGGTCTTTTGTTTCATTCGATCTTACGGTATTATGCGTATAACTAGCCCCTCCCTAATTCTAATATGATGATACACATTTCCAGAATACAACTACACGCAGCAATTGGCATCGTGGTTCATCCCGATTATTGAGAATATATCTCCTCAACTTAGCAATACTTGTAGGTACCGCATTATTTTTTAAGTGATGATCGTGTGATCAGAAAAAAAACTCGACGATTTCGGCTCAAAACACAAGGTTGAGTGACTGTCACAAAGTTCAAAAAGAAAGAAAAGTACCGAGAAAGAGTCAAAATACCAATAAAAAATAGAATAAAATAATATTGTCAAATCGTTCAGCTTGCCTACGGAACTTGTCCCATTTAGGAATCAATCGGATTCTACATTCATGAGTCTCACGCATTTCAAGAACGTATTCTTCTCGATTGTGCTCTATAACACTAGGAGGAGTTATTAGTTAAGAATATGTATATGTGTATATATATATGGCAGAGTGCGTCGAATTTATTTTGATATTATTCGGATATTGGTACGTGAGTTGAAGATGGTAAAAAGACATGTTATTGAGTTCCTTAAATTTTCAAATTTTGTGATATATCTTTAATCCAACACATTGTTGTGATTTTTTATCTTTAGATTATATTATAGGATTTTGAGAGTAGTCTTTCAGTTCATTTTGTGCTATATATAGTTTCAACTGTCTCTAATAACATCTAGAGTAGTGATAAACAATATCTGGTATGTCTTTGTCTGTTAGTCTCGCAATCCATCTCCCGAGAGAGATACATATGGACAAAATGCACAAAAATATGATTAGACTAATGAAACAAATTCAAAATACATATTTTGACAACTTGTAATTTACTACATAAATAACATTGTAGATCTCAGCTGTGGACAAATAACCGAAAAACAGATGTTCAAATATTTCAAGTATCATCAAATACCGTTACTCCAAACTCATGAAAGTAGAGTGTTGGAATCTAGCTCCAAGCTAAACAACTATCTCTATTATCACCTTTTGAGCTTTTCATTTTTATCCAATGCAACTGAGCTTGCTTTAACCTGTTTAGGTAGATTCTTTTCCTTTAGTCCAACACTGGGTGCATCATGATTGTTCACCAACAATTTCTTTCTCAAATATCGGTCTGAAACATATAACCTTTGATACCTAGGCCACCGAGATCTTTCTTATTTTTAAAAGTTGGGAAAAAGACAACTAAATTTGGTACATTTATACATACGTTAATGTGAATCTGCTATTTTGAGTCATTTAGAAAATCGAATTCCGCTACACTTTTAGAAACCATATTTATATGAGAAATCATATTGATATGTTTGCTAGAATATAACCACTCCAAGGGTTATCATCTTTCATCAAAAAAGCGATTTTTGTAGGCTGAAAATAGCTTCAATTGCCTATTGAAGATATATGAAAGATAATATTTACTTGAAAATATGCTTTAATAGGAAATGATAGCATCCGTTGTGCTATCACACTATCCACCTGCCACACCACTTAATCCGACTTGGCCCGAGTTCTCCTTTCTAGCTTTTCTGACCAGCTGTCGGTCAGGATGATTAATTGTTCATTCTTCCTCTCTGTTCTCTCTATTCACTTTATCCGTTCTTTCTCTCGATAACTCGTCTCTAAATGTTTTCCACCCAAACTCCTTTTCCCTTCCTTATCTCTACAAATTTCTGTCTCCATGTATCTCTGCTGATGTGAAAATACATGAATATGCCCGTTATGTGGAAAAACTTAAAAGTATGCCATTTGTTTTCTGAGCAAGGGATTCACACATATGGCAGTGGAAAGGGGAGGAACGATGTGGGTTGTGGGTATGTGACAGTACACGAGTGAAAGTTGGTTACTAGTTTAGTTTCTTTGTGTGTGGCGGGTGGATGGGCAGGACGTGACTCTCCACTGTAATACACCTGACTAGTTGATTGGCTGCAATTTGTTCAAGTGCCTAGACGGAGCTATAATCTACTTGGTATTACAACAACCATAGTTGCAGCGTATTCGCATTACACATACTGCAGTAAGTTGTCGACCACCTGTCTCTGAAGTATCTGGCGAAATGCTTGACTCTAAGCTAGGTGTCCACATTCTTCCATCGTGTTACAGTCAATGAAATTCACCGCCACCATCGGATCCGAACCTTTGATTTCAGTTTCGGTAACTTGGTACGATGTTTCACACGGTTCATAATCAGACCGCAGACTCTTTCCACGATATATTTCTCACTGTCGTGGAGAGTAGATGATACTTGTATGATGGTGACACTGTAATCTGACTAGTTAACAGAGGTCTTGTTCAGGATGGTGATCAGGATGATAGTCCAACTCCAGTTACGAAAGACTGCAAAGAGTGACGATTCTAGTTGATACTCTACTTCGTTCTGAACGAGATGTTCATGCTTACATTCTTCACAAGCCACTTTTTCAACTATTTCATTTTCTTTTTCTTACGAAAGTACTATAGATCACGGCTCCTCTACTTAGTTCGGCATCTGAACCATATGCCTATATCATGAGATGCCGTTGCTGCACATAACTCTTCTTCTTCCTGAACCTGCTCACTTTCTTCGCACAAATTCTGATACGCGGCGCATCCTGAGTAGTCTTCAGGATAGCGTCGCAGCATGATCCAGTTCACAGATACAGAAGGATACATTATCATGAATGTTTCTTTCCCTAGTCTCCAGATCTATTAGCAATCCTGATATTCCAGGGTAAAGTCCAACCTGATTTCGTAGGTTTTTCAAGCATTTATCAGAAGGACATCTAGGTTTAAACTTGCCTTAAACTTTAAGAAGAATGTCATCACAGTGGAATCGTAATATCAAGTAGTAATGCGTCCTGTCTCATAATAAGTAACAAATCTTTTCTGTCCTCTTTGGATACTTCCGTTCTTCTTCGCTACAGAGATGACCCTATCCTAACCTATGATACAAGAAAGAAGGCAAAGTTCGATGGTACAACATCACAGCCTTCATTGGAACCTTAAAGCCTTTGCGTCATGCAAGACTCAAAAAATGAATTCTGTCACCATTCTCAACTCAAATCGTGAATACAAAGCATCCTTTGCTGCCAACGATCATCTGTACAAGCTGTCCGGACATGGATGTCACCTCCAGTGTTTGGGGAATATCGACGAACAATCTATGCCTGAAGATCCCTTTGATAGAACTCAAATAGCTTGAAATTAAGAATTTCAAGCCATTTCCGCTTGCCAAGGGTAGTCTGTCAAAAACTGGATAAATGGAAGAAGTTGAGAAATCGTGACAGGAAACTTCAACTTTCTGCTCCTCCTTCACTCTTCTGTTCCGCTCCCAAACTGAGGTGTTTCTTGCAGGTGTTTCACCTGCCAGATGCTGAGCCGTAGGCTTTTCCAAAAAAAAGGAGCTGAAGCTGGTCATAACCTGAAAGGACGCCTGCTCCAGCAATACCAAGCAAGATGTTCGCAACTGTACCTCTGAAAAGAGCTGTTACTCCTTCTTTAGCCACAATCTGCCTGAAGGCATCGACAGTGCCCTTGTACTTCACAGCTTCACCCGAGGTCATCATCATCCTTCGCCGGACCGTGTCAAAAGGATAAGCAACAATGCCAGCCGCAGTAGTAACAGCCCAACCAAGGAGAAAACTGCAGATGAAGCTATCCTGCAGGAACCAGGACCTCACGTTTCAGACCACTGAAGTATCAAACGCCTACCTGAAAATCAGACGCCGAATGCATTCTTTCCCTGATATGAGGTAATGTTGCTCTAGGGGAGCAAGCATGTACTTCCAGACCGTACAGCCTTTCATTTGACTCAACTGGGAACGAAGAAACCCAACGGCACATGTATAGAGATAGTTGTTTTTCAGTTCAATTGAAAACTAAAACTGGGCCTTGCAATCTTGCTGTCCAGTGGACTCATTGGTCATCACTGTTGAATTTACAAGCTTCGCACTCTGGTAGCGTCTTCAAATTTGAGAGATAAATGATGCGTTACTACCCTTCAGACTTCCTATTCGCATATGGTACCACAAACAAGAGATGTTACCTCCATGGATCCCACCAAAAGTACTGGCTTCGCAGAGTCGTACATTCCGAAGTAGAGCCCTCTATACACAACAATGCCAACGATAGAAGCGTTGAAACCCCTGTACAATCCAATAACTCCGTCCGAAGCAATTGTTTTTTGATAGACATCGACGAGCCCGTTGAACTGGCGGCGGCCACCAGTTTGCAAACTTTTCGCATCATTGGTTAGTCGAGTCCGAGCGTAATCCAAAGAGTACACGAAAAGAGAAGAAGCAGCACCGGCTGCCCCTCCAGAAGCCAAATTTCCACCGAACCATTTCCAGTAACCATCCGTCTCCTGACTGTAACCAAAGAGGCTCTTGAAATAATCCTTGAAGGCAAAATTGAAAGCCTGCGACACCCAGAAGCCATCAAATTTTTGAATCAAGTACTAGCTTGCACTCAGAAATAGAAGATTCGCCTTGCGAAAGGTTGGATTGCTAAGCTCCTCATTTCTTTGCTATGTAATCCAGAGTACTTCATCAACATTTTAAAAGGAATGAGGGACTTGATAACATCGCTGACATGCGATTCGCGTTGACTGTAATAAAAGCAGGCCACCAGCACGTCGAAGTGTATTCAAGCCGGATCGATCAAACACACGGTGTTCACATTACAGTTTCAAGCTACAAGTAAAACCAACCCGAGCTGCAGATAGGAATGTATCACAAATCGAAGTAGCCAACCTGGACCTTTCTGCATGCATATGGGCTTGCTGCAAGTTTCCTAAAATTCAGAATTCGAAATTAATATGGAGAAAAAATAGCACCTGAGTTGGGAAATATCGTATGACGTTAGTGAAATTACCCCTCCAAAAGGCAAGTAGGCCTTCATCTTTCATAATTCTTTTGAAACAATCTCCAATGCCCTTGTATGGATCGACTAAGCGACCAGTCTTGAGCAACTCTCCCTGATTTTGGACCAAGAGCTTCACTCGCTCGATCGGAGCGGCAACGGTTTTCGAAACAGCTGCTGATGCTCCCCCCATCATGAAATCTACAATGAATGAGTGCTCCATCTCCCTAGAAGAAGGTACAAAGATGGGAGAGAGCACCGGATGTGTGCACTGATATGGTGCAAAATTGGCAACATTTTTACAAAAGGTGGAGGTCCCAGCCGAGGATGAATGACTATTGTACAAAGCCGTTTTTCTTCTGCAGGGGCCTAGAATTCGCTCGTAGATTTCCCTCTGCTGGAAATTTTGAGCAGTGAATCGTTCCGGGACAGAAGCCATTGGCGGAAAGTTTTCACTGCTGTGTCAAATGTGCACGATTGGTGTCACAAGATCTGCAGAGGTTGAAAGCAGATTTGCCTGCTGTTCCTTCCCACAGAGGCAGGGCACGTCCCTGCTCTCTTCGAAACTCTCAGTTGCGGGGACGGGCATCATGACAACGCAACACGCAACAAGATGTTCGACTCCCCTTTATATCTCAGAATCTCAAAATTCTCGGACGATCCACCACAAACAGACGCCTCCATTCGGAAAGCTTTGCTTGTACCAGTGACACGAAAATCTCGATAGGGGAGAGAATCAACATCCGACAGATTCGAAATGTTCAGAGATCTTTTCGCTCTTCCTCATCGCTCCGGGGGCCATCTCAGAATGACTAGCTTGTGAAACCCACGCCGATCCTCTCGAAGGTCCGGCGTCTTGAAACTCAGAAGCCGGAGCAATCCACAATGGATCGATCGGACAGAAACTCCACCTCATCATCGTCCCCGGCCACTTCTGCCCTGCCCTGCCCGGCACTGTCTAGCGGGATGTGACCCAGCTCCCTGTTTTCTCGTCCATCCCACCAACATGCCTGCCCTCCCTGCAGGCATACGCCGCATCTCTTCCAAGGGCCACTATCACGCCACATACGACCCTCCTTGATGCTGTTTCCTACCGTCCTGTTCATAGTCTCCATTTCCCCTGTTTCACTAAGTGACCTGCTCTTGAAACAGCTTTTCCGCACTCAATAATTCGCTCCCGTCTTATCTGACTCCAGCTTTTCCCCGCCCAGCCTTATCTCTCGCTGTCCATCAAACAAACAGCCCGACTCCCTCCCTCCCTCCTTTGACATCTCCTCCCACCGCTGCACTTGGCACTCGGCCTACAATCCTCAATCCCCAATCCCGCCTCAATTACAGCGCCGTAAACTTTTTTCTCCTCGCCTCTCCGCTCCCTGGGCCTTGTAATTTCTCCCTCCCTTCGTGAATGCGTGCGTTGATCATTCACGTCTCCGCCCCTCGCCCCTCGCCCCTCGCGCTTTCGTCTTCCAGCGCACTCCCTTGGGTTCGCGTCTTGACGTAAGCGACATTTCCCTCTGCGGAGAACCCGAATTCATGCCTGCATGCTCTCACTCAGTCGACTTCGACATCTTCTCTGACCTCTTCCTTCCTTCCTTCCGATGCCGGCGCGATTCTCCCTCCTTCGCCTTTGACCTCTCGCCCGGCTAAAATTAGCAAGCACATCCCCCTCCCCTCCCTCCTCACGCAGCACAGCACAACGCGAAAGCGTCACCAACCGCAAACGCAACGAGGGGGCACGAGAAAGTGAGAGACAACGTCATTTTCCCTTCCGTCTCTCCCCGTGAAACACCTTTTTTCTCCTTTTTTTTTCCCAGATACGACAGCCAGAGAATTAGCCTCAGATCGTGGAACACCAGCCCATGTACTTCGTGCCTCTGCCAGCCAGTTTTGTGCTGATTTAAAACCCCTCCTAATTGCTAGGGTCAAATAGCTGAGCTCCAAAGAAAAAGTATCCTGTGATAAAATATACTGGCAAAGGTTGACTAGGTTTACAGGCTCTGCAGGTTGCTTTCGACCATCGCAAGCTGTTGGGAGGAGGGCAAAGAAAGGAACATTTTGAGTAGCCGTAAAACATGCTCCTTTTTCCCGGTTTATTAACACTTTTTTATGCAATTTTTTCTAGACCTTTCAAAAGACTTTCATCTCGATAAGCCATCTGTAGCGCGGTCTTCAGATACCATCTGCAGGATTGTAAAAATTGAAGAAAAAAACCACAAGATTAAGAATTACCTGAAGGAATAGCTTGCTAGGTATAGCTAATCAGTTTTAAATTATCTTCAGCTTAATTTTCCGTTTTGGTACCGGATGTCACACATATTCCGTCGGTCAGAAAACAAAAACAAGACTCTACAATAGCCGGTGATCATAAAGCCGAATCTCTATTCTTCTTCCGTTTGTGCTGCATACCTTAGGTTTTTGGACTTTCCATGCTTCTTCCTACCTTTCAACTCGATGTCGAGTTTTCTTCTACAGGGCTGGATGAATTATCATTTCATTTGCGATGAACCTGTAGTGCACTCACTCCATCGTCATCAGACGTTGGACATGCCAGAAAAAAAGTTGTCATGCATTAAGAAGTGAGAATATGACAAGAAAATTCTTTCTATTTGACAGTTTTGTTTTCATTGAAAGCGTATGTCATACATTTTGTAATCAAACTTCCAATCATTTTTATAGAAATTCCATAAGACCACGAGTGAGAATAGAGCAAAGGTATGTTCTTGTGAAAAAACATCAAAAATTTAAGACACGAGATTTATGACATGTATATGATGTACAACTTTGTAAATTACAATGAAGCGAATGATAGGGTTGAGAAAGCATTCAATCTTAGAGCATTATGCGTTTGTTAGTTGACAATTTCGTTATCATAGACCCAAATGCTATTGAAAAATGGGAAGTAGAAGTAAAGATAGAGCATGTTTCAACATGATCGAATATCTGGTTTTAGCAAGTATGTATATATAACTTACATATTCATAAATTTTTTTGTGTTTTATCAAAAGCAAATCAGCAAAGAGCTATTTCAGGTTCTATTCTTTAACAATTTTTATCTTTTGCATCAATATAAGCATAGGCAAAAGAATATGATATCACTCGGATGGTAATTTTTGTTAAAATACATGTTGGTGAAACTACTTCTTCAAAGGTAACACTAGAAGAGACTTGAAAGTTTTAGTATTTGATTTTCAAGTAGATTCAAAAAGTTAACAAGTATTTTGAATATGGATAAAAATTATGACATCTTTGATATCATAATTTGAGTCATATTGTGTCTTAAATATCAATATCAAAATCAAGTAAACATAGATTTTTCTGCAATTTTCTTATAGAATTTAAGTCTTGAAGATGTCTAATGGATGAAAATAAAGATTTATGAGTTCATTGACTGTTAGTGTAATCATTTGATATCAATATAGTCGTTCATCTTTAACTCTTATGGTTTTTTGGTTTTTCATCATGATTCCATAAGTTTGAATTTTCACATACAAACCAGTGTCTAAAATTTTTTCATGCACTCTCTTCATTGGTCATAAAATTACATTGACACTCTTGATAATTTCAAAGTAAAATTTCCATTGATGAAACAAATCTTCATTCAAAGTTCTTTTCAAATTTGCTTGAAAGTCTACTCTTATTTATTGATTTATACTATTTGAAAAAACTACTATCATAATTTATATTAATTATTATGGAATTATTTTCTTGTCAAAAAAATTAAAAATTAAAATAAAATATTATCAACATTCATAAAGAAAATTAACTTACAACATTAAATTGATCTATCAAAATCTTTTAAAGATTTACTTTCCCCTTTGTGATAACAACATGTCATTGGAGATCTTGAAAGTCTATAATATCAACTTGCTATTAAGTCAAATTCAGATTTGATCTAATCAATCATATTTAAATATTCAAATGAAATAATAAATACTAACATATAATCAAATCTTTGATTTGCAATGTTAACATTGATACAAAACCAGATACAATGATGTGAGTTAGCAATAATTTTATGTTGGTTGATTTTCCACAAGACTCTGGTCATGGATTTAGACTTATATATGTTTGAATCAACAGAGAGCGTGTTAGCAATAATTTTATGTTTAGACTTCTATCTGTTTAAACCAACTAAGAGCGGCAAGATGTAGCTCAACTACAAACATTATATCAGATTTTTTCAACAAACCTAATGTTTTATGGACGTAGTCAAAGATTTCAACCACGTTATCTTTCGGTGTCAAGTTTTTCTGCATTTTGTACAATTTTCATGCATATCTATTATGAAAAGAAAGGTATCGAGCTACCAAAAAGCTTCAAACTGAATAGATCGAAAGATATTGTTGAATTTTTGGAAAATAGTATTCATATTCAGACGTAGGTTCAAACAAAGAAAGACGTCTTATGTGCATTGATGATCAAACTAAGTGTACAAGTTGATAGCTCTACACAATTGAACTATGAGAATGTCAAACACAAAAGAACATATACAACAATGAGAAGCGCATGAATAAAACATACATTGTCTTCAATCAAATATTGTTATTGAATTGTGTGAGCAGTTGAATTAACCATCATTTTCAAGCACAATTAACAAGTTTTTTTACAATTAAATAACAAGAATCAAATAACACAAAAAAATATTCAAAATTCAAACACAATTCAAAATACAACAAAAAACCAAAACAAATTATCATGAAAAAATCACAAAAATAAGGTTGATGTTATGTTTAAGGTGTTGAGCTAGATCACGTCGCCCTTAGTAGTCAACACTGCACAAGTGCATACTCTAATAGGGTTCTATTGTCAACACCACTCTTGACAGAAAATAATCTCAACAATCTAACCCTTAATTCTATTAAAAAAAACATGGACTTTATAATCTACATAATTACTCTACTTAAAGTTTTAGAAGAAAATTTAAAACAGGTTTGTACATTAAATATAGTTAATTAGAAGTAAGGCGTAACCAAAACATGATGACGAAAAAATATACAACGATAACTAAGATTGCTAGTTGATTCTACTTGTGCTTCTCATATAAAATCTTCATTGAAGCACACAATTTCCTAAAAATTTTTAAAGTTATAATATTAAACAACGAATCAACAACATTGAATTTATCGTCAATCTTGATTAGCTCAATACAACGTGTGTTTGATGATGATCTAAGTTTAGCATACGTTGAATTTAACTGCCTTATTCAACCAAATCTTTTTCTTCTCAAAATTTCTATGCATACATATACCTAATATCAATTTGGACTTATGATGATTTTTCATCTCAAATGCAGACTTCATCTAGTTCTTGCATCTATCTACGTTGAATTGATTATTTGCAAAGATTAGTTATGATACACATAAAATACAAAAATAAGAAGTTAAAAAATTTTATTGTTCATCTTCTTCATATATACATAATGATCATGCACACTCTAAAAAAATACTTGTGTATTCATGAATTCATCAAATCTCACATTTCACTTTGTACAAATTTGCTTCAATGTATATAATGATTTGAGCGATCAACAAATCCATTTTTTTCTCAAAACCACCTGGTAATCTCATGTAATATTTTCCTCTAAAAATTCATAGAAAAATGTTCTAACTAGATTAATTTGATTTATAACAAAATTAAATATTGCAACAATAGTACATTTGATGCAGATAGTAACGTACTTTGCTACAAGAGAAAAAAAAATTTGTTTTTGTTCATAACTTTCTTTTTCGTGAACCTTTAGACATCAACCTCGTTATACAAAAAAAAAATCTCATCATTTTTTGGATTGTACTTCATACTTTAAATCCAATTGCAATCAATCAAAGATTAATTTCTTAAAAGTTCCACCAGTTACTTTATCTCACATTCTATCACATCATTCTATTCAAACTCATTGATAAAATATTGAGTTTTTTACTAATAAAAATTTTCTATTTCTTCCAAGATCAATGCAATGTCACGCTCTCTATTAGTATCACAAAGTTTGTCTTGGCTCACAATGCATACCTTATAATGTTTCCTTCTGACTTAATTTTATGATTTACTAAACGACAATTCCGATTGAGCTATAAATCATACTATGAAACAATTATTATCAGCCATACGTTTGTGACTAATTTCAAATAGTTTCAATAACTTAATTGCACTAAAAAAATAGGTTTATCAAATACATTGTGGTGTTGATAGCTTCAACTTGAATATCATATAAATACTTGGTTGGTTTAACATGTAGCGCAACTTCTTTAACATTGTTCAATTAAATCTCTCAAAATCAATATATTTTTGTAGAGTAAAATCATGATGAGAGGATAAGTAATCTACTTGTCTTTGCGAAAACTACTCGCAGTATACTTTTAGTCATTTTCCGTGCGTTAAAATTTCATGTTGTGTCTAATCAAAATCTCAACTTATAAATGTTTGAATTGCAACATAAAAGGTTTGTATATGATGCTTGCTTGTACAATAATGTTCGCAACGACGTAGAAATAGTTTTTGCAATGCATGCGCGTTCATACTTTCGCCCAGGATTCATGTGCGATTCAACATGAAGTGTGAGTCCATGCGAGTTCATGATTTCATCTATGAATCAGTTGATAGTTTATAGATTTCATGCTCTCATTTCACTTTTGCTCGGCAGTAAGCAACATTGGGAATTTATCCTCTGCTGTTCCATTGGCTTCACCACATGAGATTCGATGATTCAATGCTCCGGTTATCACCATTTGAAATTCGGTAATTAAGGGGTCCGGTGTTCACTATTTGTAAGTCGGTGGGATTCCCCATAGAAAGTTCCCGAGAGCGATCGGAATGGTTCTACCCTTTGTACCTCAATCTCCTCACAAATATAGAATTTCGTTAAGGTCCAATATTATCATCAGTTCCAGTATACTCCGCGTTTCCCCGCGAGCACACGTGTGCTACTCGCGCGGAGAAAACATCGTGGTCACCAGTCTTAAGGACTAGATAGCGATCATTTCCTCTTAGCCCTCGTGTGAAGTCGCATTGAAAAGGTACTTACTCTCCGCCTGTTTTCATACCATTTTCAAATTCAAGACGAACATCGAGGAGGTGGCTGTGTTCTATTTGCACATACTCTAAACTTACGAGATGTATACACTAGGCTGGGTTCGAAGAATGAGGGCCAAACTGACACCCGAAATGCGACTCAATCAGCTTTTCATATTCACAATCAGCATCCACGGTGTGTCATCTCGCCTATTGACAAGTAAACCTCAAGTCCCAAAACTTGAGCCACCACACCGACGAACACACGAGAATTCGGTGTGGATAGACATTCAGTTACAATCTTCCAGGTATACGAGATGTGACAGTATCAACATTTGTTGTTGACAGAACTACATACGTCTGTACAGTGTGCAATACACCGTATATGACATCCATCCATCGTAAACAGTGGACAGAATAATCGGGCAAGTGAATGGATTGAAATAATACATTCTCAATTCTTAGACTCGAATCTCGTGAAGACCATTTCAACAAAATTGTCTTCATGTAATAACAGATAATTAATCCCTTGTGAAGGGCCTACAAGAAGGTTGTGAGCCAAGTGGTCAGGTGTTACTGCAATTTCAGGCAGTAGCATCGACCTTGTAGCTAAGGGGAAGAAGAGTGGCACTGACATCTGCAAGCTGCTCGTCAGCCTTCTTAGCGGCCTTGAGACGGAGCTGAATGAGCTGCTTTTTCCTCTCGTAAAACACCTTGGACTTGACCTTCCTCTTCTCTTCCAATTCCTGCAATTTACAGAAAAATATACATAAATCACATTTGACCATCAAAGGACATAGATGCACCCTCAGATCCACCTGCTACAGGTTTAGTGTTCCGATAGAAAGGGCAGACCTAAACGTGCATGGCAAGAATTTCGCGCAATTGACGTCAACATTGAAGGAAAATGTAGGTCAAGTGAGCACACCTTGACGATGTCATAATGGTGCCATCCAACCTCTGATGAAAGGCGACCAAGCAAGCAAAACTTGTGTCCGGGCTGCAACCTCAAAACCCTGAAGGCAGGCAAGTCGAAGGTGAGGACCAAAGAATCAGACTATATAGGCAGAAAAAAGACTTGAAACAGGAAAATCGATCAGATCCAATTTTTCGTGAAATGGAAGTCTCCTGTAATTTCACTTACTTGAGAGCGTCAGGGATGACCATCCTCTTCATCTTGTCATAGGGCTGGGGAATACCCTCAAAGGCCTTTAGGCGCTCAAGTGCGGCAGCACCACGCTTCGTCTTGTGAGGAATCATACTGTTCAAAAAGAGCGAGTGCAGGTAAGACCGGGGTACTATACCTCCGAACAAGGTACATCAAATCAGAAGAATTCCACGCAGGGGCTAACGGTGGGCGCAAACAAGTCAAACCGACATATGCCATGAAGCCATTCCTAGGCGGCAGAGCTTCCGATATCCGTGAAAAGACCTACTTCTATGTCGGGTGCTAGTCATGGACGGCCGGGAAACTCACCCACGGATGGTCCTCCACAGAATGCGAGAGGGTGCACGGAAATGAATGGGTCCCTTACTGGGCTTGGTGTTCATTCGCTTCCTCAAAAATCTCAAATATTTCATCTTTTGGCGGACAAGTCCACCTGAAAGAGCGATTTCTTCGCATCGTACAACGACCTGTTCAATTTGCCACGACCGTAAGCCTAATCCTCGGCTTCAAGAAATCAACACAGCTCTCTTTTAAAGTCCCAATAGTAGCGAGTAGACATACTGATGTGATATTTCTTGACCCTTAGGTTTCAGTGGGCAAGAACGTCATCTCGGTTTCTCAACACTTTTGTGTTCTCATTCAATTACTTATTCGAAGTGGCACAAAGCTTCCTGACAAGCTAACATACCGTGACAGTCTTCCTAAGATCTTCCAAGGGGAGGGAAGGAAAAAATTGCGGACTTCGGACTCCGCATAACCATTAGAAAGTGAAGATAACGAAATTCAACGCAGTCACACCAAGCACAGCACGGCAGAAAACCTAAACTGTGGGCCTTCAGTCTAAGTCGAAATGTACATGAGCCTGAGAGGCATTGTACCGCCCCCATGGGCAAAACAAAACCGGCACATGGACTTGGATCACCTTCGACAACAGCACACAGTTCATCTCACAAACGCTCGCAAGCTCTTCCCTATAAAACCGACTGACAACAACCCGGGAAAGCAAAACGTACCACGCGCTGCCCATTGAGAAGCTCCTTTGCCAAAATGGATGCCAATCTACCGAGCATGTGGTGGCGAGCATCGACCACCACGACCTTGGCGCAGAGCCCAGAGCCGGACACCATTGCGCCTACTTCTTACACCAAAAATGCTGCCGATTCTCGATCGGATGCTCGTGGAACGATCTGTCTAACTCCGCAGCTGATGCTGCTGCCCTGCGACCGAAGAAGCAAAACGAGAAAAGACCCACTTCCTCGCTGGCCGCTCCTCTTGCACCCAGGCGTCGACGGAGGGCCGAACTTCGACTTCAAACTAAAGTCCACAAAAACTTTGTCTTTTTGCGAAAACTTCTGGACTTGGGCTTGCGAAGTCTGGACTTGGACTTCGGATTCGCGGTCGGGCCGGGCGGAGATGGTTCCAGGGCTTCGTATTGAGCCACGCTGAGCGCCGATGTGGTTGGGCTGAGCGCGGGTACCCGTGACGAATGGTGACCATCGGATCCGGCGACATCTGCACTGTCGATTCTAGGGCTGGAGAACTGCTCTGTCTTAGGGCTAGGGTACGGGATTGCTTTTGTTCGGGACACGGTGCTCTGAAATCTTCCTTTCGGTGGTTTCACAAAACCCTTCCGGTGTGACTAAAATTTTCCCTTTCAGCTGATTGCTGCCAAATCGCTCGCAGCGATGGTGTGTTGAACTCGAACTTATCCCCCGTAATCTGTCATGTTGCCTGTTCGATGTGCTCTCGTTGAAACTGTTGGTCCAATAAGTGTCCTTTTGAGTGCGCTTGATCAGTGGGTTGGATTAGCGAGTGAAGTTGGCAGCTGATCCAATTGCCCGTCGTGAATTGCATTGTCAGGCGTTCGTCAAGGCACACAAGAGCAAAGCGTACTTCAAGAGGTTTCAAGTCAAGTACAAACGCCGACGTGGTATGTTTCCTCGAACACTTACGGTAGTTTCGCCTCGTTTTCTTTCGTTTCGTTTCGTTTCGTTCGAATTTATGTTTCCGTAAGAATCCACGCTGGGAGTCGTGTGACTGGTTCTGTCTTGATCAATTCGCAATCCCTAATGTTCCTGTCGAGGTTTGTGACCCTTAGTCTCGTCTCTTCCGCAGCTGGTAAGACCGACTACCGTGCCCGAGTACGCCTCACTACTCAGGACAAGAACAAGTACAACACCCCTAAGTACAGATTCGTTGTCCGATTTGTATCCTCTCAAAATGCTGGTTCATTTTTCATGCTTCAAGTCTGTCACGATAGCCCAAGTTGTTTCTTTCCTCGTGCATGTGCTCCTTTACCGGTATCTCACAGACCAACAAGGACATCGTTGCTCAGATCACCTATGCCACCCTCGCCGGTGACATTGTATTGGCCTCCGCATACGCTCATGAGCTCCCGCGTTATGGAGTGAGGGGTGGATTCACCAACTACGCCGCTGGTGAGTACTCAATTCATCGCTTCGAAACTTTCATAAGCACGTCCTTTTCTTGTTACAAACTGCACCGTCCAGGATTTATCAACAGGTGTGGCAACTTCGCCCTCAGCAGTCCACGAGGCCTCGTGGAGCCGGTTAGGTTAGACTACATAGAAGTGGAGTACGAGTAAAGGGAGGAAAAGGTAGTTCCCAGGGGAAGGAGCAAGGAGCGGCAGCTGAATAGTTTTGTTGTGGTCTTTGCACAGCTTACTGCACCGGTCTTCTCCTAGCCCGTAGAATTTTGAAGAAATTCGAGCTCGATGAGGAGTACGTTGGAAACACCGAGGCCACCGGTGAGGACTTCAACATTGAAGCAGGTGATGCGAAGAAGCCATTCAGGGCCTTGTTGGACGTTGGACTCGTCCGAACTACCACTGGAAACAGAGTGTTCGGAGCTTTGAAGGGCGCTTTGGATGGTGGATTAGATATCCCCCACAGCGAGAAGAGATTCCCGGGGTTCAACAAGGAGGACAAGAGCCTCAATGCTGAGATCCACAGGAAGTACATTCTCGGAGGACACGTCGCCGACTACATGAAGGTTGGTTGCCAATGTCAACTAGCATGTGTTCCGGCCTCACTTGGAGCGATAGTTCTGCGCCTCGAACCGTACTCACCTTTTGCCATTATCTACAGATGTTGAGGGACGACGAGCCCGAGAAGTACCAATCTCACTTCTCCTACTTCATCAAGGAGGGACTTGAGCCTGAGGCCCTCGAAAAGATGTACAGCGCAGCCCACGAGGCCATCCGCGCTGACCCTTCACTCAAGCACACAGAGAAGAAGGCCCCCGCTGAGAAGAGAACGTACGTGGATATTCTTTACTTTTATTTATAATTCGCTGGCACTAAGGAATGGTGTAATTGTGTAAGTTTGTCCGTATGTTTTAATGAGGAAAGATGGTCCCGGTCTGTGCAGATGGAAGATGAAGAAGTTGAGTTACGATGAGCGCAAGGCTAACTTGGTAGCTAGGTTGAAGGCTGTCAACGAGGAGGGAGACGACGAGTAGAACGTAACCTCACCCGGCTAGCGTATCTAAAATCTCTCCAAGAAGGAGAACTTTTGTGTCCTGCTTTTAAAGCATTTAAAGCATTCAAATTGACCCCAGTACTGCACTTCAGAATATTTTTGCCCATTGACTAATGGACTGTTCGCATGCCCTGGGGCCTGGGCTGTCGAAGATTCTGCAGTAGTATATGCCTAGATGTAGCGTGGTTTATGTTTGGGACTGAGGGGGTTATTCCGAGCTGTTCGAGAACCAACTGTATGCCCATATCTCTCTAGTTCAAGAGTTGAAGAGTTTCACGAAATGCGCTCCCTGCTGATTGTGAGAATGCTTTTGAGAACCTTATTCGATGCACGCACATTTGCCAAACTCAACCTGGATGACCTAATCGATCTTATTCCGCGAATGACATTGCTTCGAACAAAGTTGCAGCGCTTCATGTGTAAAACAAACAATTCAAAGAAATGAACGTACGGAAGAAAAATAGTTACACTTCAATTCGCGGTGGAAATGAAAGTCGTGTGAAATGAGAACGAAGTATAAATAATTAAAATCACTGTGTACGATGTCAGCCATTGGAACAAATTCCAGATTAAAACTGGAAAGACGGAGTGGTAGAAATAGAGTAGTCTATAAGTGGAAAAACGGCACTGAAAATGTCATTGCCTGCTGTACAAACAATATATCTTTCTTGAGTTAAGAGACTGCATCTGTCGTAGATGTAGAGTAATTACTTGCAACTGAAAGAAATAGTTCGACCAAATAGGAAGAAAGGAGATAAAATAGACATGCATAGTGAAATAATCATCACGTCGCCATGTGTGACCAATCGTTCTGCTAAGGCAAGATAAGAGAGCGGGAAAAATCGCTTAATCTTTAGCCAGCGACATGAAAGGTGCTTAGGGTTAACCCCGAGCATTGAGCGGGTAATGACACATCTCAGTACCGAGCTCACTTCGGAGCAGAATTTAAAACGAAGAAACGTGTAAGTCTACAGGTGAAAGATGATGACTCAATACAGCTTACAAGATTGCGTGTGGCGTCAGCTGATAGAGGAAATATATGCACCGTCTGGAACGCATGAGCAACTGGCAGAAGTCCGTTTGATGGTCCAGAACTTAATCTACACGAGGTTCGTATCGATCGAGCCGTTCAGCGAAGCTGGCGCTGTGGGAGCCGGCAATGCTCCGCCGGTAATGCAAAATGAATCGTCCGAAGGTGCCGATGATGGTGATGGTGTTCTATCTTGGGCAGTCTGAGTCCTCTCTATTCTGCTCGAGATTTGGACACAAGTCGAGGCTTTCAGGGTAGGAAATCCCCCAGCAAGAGATCAAGACTTACATGGCTACGAACACTGATGATTTGCTGCTAGCTCTAACACGGTTGCGTCTGATATTCCAAATCACCATATTTCTGGTGGCACTGTGTCTTCTGTTTTGGGTCGCGTTGTTGCATTGCATCGGCATCAGTAGGCGTTGAGGCGTTGAGGCTTTGAGGATTTGAGGATTTGAGGCTCGGCAGCAATTTCAATACTTTCCCGATTTGGGTGTACCTGCCAAAATCATTTGCAATAAATCAGGATGTGTACGTCGAAGGAGCAATTCAGCAGACGCTGGCACTACGTCTCCAGACCTTTCAGACGGCGCACCCTTGATAATGATGGGCTGGTAAGAATCGGTTCAGACCTCGAAAATGCAATCAATTTGGATTTAGGCTTTTTTTGGGCTAGCTTGTCCGGCAAATTTGACGTAATCTCGAAGGTCTATCCTGAATTTTTGAAATGAGGCGTAGCTTGTTATGCTGCTTATTGCCAGTGTACTATCCCTAGAACAATAGTTCCGTGGTCGCGTCCCTGCAAATTGTCGATTTTGATACGTAGCTAATTCTCTTTGGCTCGTTGAGAATGTGGCAGTGCTCAGACACAGCACAGAATGAAAATCGTTATCTTGTGATTCCTGCCAAGAGTTTGCTTGGCTCTTTACATCTCCAAGTTCGGCGCTTCTCGGCTGCGGAGGGATTGTTCCTAAGTAGCAGGAAAACATGGCGTGCACCAAAAGACATGTCAACGCACGAAGCATAAGATCGAAAAACAGTACAATCTGCGTCATGAGGCTGCAAAGTCTGATCAAACTTTCAACTCTGCAATACAGAATAGGGATAACGCACGAGTCAAACAGAGCGTCTTCCTTACACTAACCCAATTTTGTGTTACACCAGCTGATTCGAGTCAAACGCTGTTGCAGGAGATCTCAATTCTCTCAAGTACGGCCAATGTAGCGCAAGGCGGGGAAATATTCTAGTCTTCGAATCCCGCCACTGTATTTTGAGATTGGCAGAAGCCGATAAAGAGATGGCTTCTTGTATAGTTTTTGACGAAGCCGCGTAGAAGCTCTTGTATAGAAAGCAGAGATGGCTATAGAGAATGCGCATGACTGAAGCAGTAAGAATGAACACCAAGTCTGGAATGCTGGTGATCGCCCTGTGCCATTTAGGGATTCTTTCACCTCATTGCTTGCTTCGAGCGAGTATACGAGCAGTGGAGTCCCCGGAACATACTGAAATGAATTTTGTTCTTACTCAACATGCACTCGCAAAATTGAGAGCATGTTCCTCACTTGACGTATTGAAATGATTCAGAGGAGTATTCATTCTTCTCATTTTGCCTCTCGCTTTCTTCTCGGCCTGTGTATGTCAAGCAATCCGGTAATTTAGAAACATTGGTTGAATTTGTGATGGTTTGACTAGTCTTCTTCGGGTCAGCTAATTCTGGGATTGTCTGTGTCTTTTAATTCCAGTGTAGCATCTCGCAACCTGGGCACCGAATCTGACAACCCTACTATCGAGCTGGACTAGCATACTCACCCACGAATCCAAGAATCCTGTTTTCAAGAGATGTTTGAACCTCCGATTGGGATCTCCATGCTGTACTGAAGAACCATTGTAATGTCCTGTCGAAGGAAAACATTATCATATTCGAGAGTAAACGCGATCATATTGTACTTGCAAGAAGGTATACTCAATTACTTTGGGTACCAACTGTGAGACTCGTCGATCCATCGATGCAACACCCGCAAGCCGAGCCAAGCCACTACCCAGCACTCCTCCCAATAAAGGTTAAGAAGATATTTTATAATTATGAAGACTATGTATAGTAAATGCTTCAGTGTGTTGGCATACAGTAAGCTTTCGAGAAAGCGTACCCTCTCATCTCCCGTAGTTTCTGCTCAGGTTCTATTTATCATTTTATACATTTAACCTACGATTTCAATAATCCGATTCTCAATTCTAATTTACTGCCCGTTTAAATAAATTGTTTTCATTGTTGTCATTTCATTTCACACGTGTATATTGATGAATATACTGTTGGTTTTCTTTTCAGGAGGAGTGTCAATGTGTGTCAATGTCCGGGAGTCACTGTTGATGATATAATGGTGCTTGAAAAGAAAGTGGTGTTTACGAAAGACGCGCAGCTTCTGTCCAATACGGCTTTTGAGCAAATTGAGTGAAATAATTGCTCTACATATTTGGTGCCGCAGAACTCCAAGACAGGTATACAAGTGCACATGTACATTGCAATCATGCCTTGTCCTCCATTTTTTTCAAACTACATGTAGAGAGGTTATGGTGAGTATAGCTTTCCTGTGTCTGCTCATGCAGTCTAGAGTGCATAGTCCAAAATTCGGCTATGAATGTCATGACAGGATGGACGTTGCTCCTGTCCCGGATTTTGTCAACGGAGAGCATGTTCGGCGACTGCAGATGCAACTACAAGTTCGCCATGGAAGCTGAGTGGACCGATGGAGACGGGAACCGTCCAACGGGGTGATCAATACGTCTGCGAACCACGCGTGAGCAAAATCCGCTACTTGAGGTAAAGATTTTGAAGGGAAGCGGGGGCAAACGAGCAAATTGGAAGACTGAGTTTCAAGATAAGAGACTTCCATATCCAGATAAGATTTATTATGACTTTCAATTCCCGAGAGTTGACAGCAGTTTTTCATGAGAAAACTTTGAGTACCAGCATTTTCCTCAATATCTCGACCTTTAGGACAAGGTCAAAGACTGAAAAGGTTTTGCGGACTGAAAGCGTTATACATACTGCACGTTCATACAGTGTGTCCTGAGATTACATCAGATCCTGATATTATCTCCATATGTGCACTGTTAACACTCTTTAACCTGAACTCACGAGCCACGTTGCGGGAATGGCGTCAAAAACTTGCAAATCTTTTCGACCATTTCTATTGTCTATATGTACAACTTTGAACAAACGCATCAACTCTTCTCAGACGGAATGTTATCTTCAACAAAAGAAAACCTCAGTAGGGGATTGTTGGATGAGAATTCGAGCTCAACCGCTCCTCCACTCTTCCCTGCAGTATCACAAATTCAGGAGATGAAGAGAACTTACATGACAACAATTACCTTCTTAGCATCTCAGACGTTGAGCCGAACAATCTCAACTACGATACAGATGACTCAGATTTTGATTCTCGATGTGACCCTAGGCAAAGGAGGAGAGGGCACGGTTGAGCTGATCATAAAAATTTGAACATTCAACCGTGCCCTCTCCTCTGTCGAGGGTCACAATAAGAGGCTCGTGGGCATGCCTGTTCATTCTCAAGACTTCTGAGCCGCAAGAATGGGAGACCCAAGATCAATACTTACATCGGTACAGGACTATGCAGGTCGCACGATTCCAACGATCCACATACTGCACTGATTCAAACACACATCCACCGGGTGCCATATCTTCAAGTACCACCTTTCGAGGACCAACGTTTAGGGATACTGAACGCTTGCTCCACTTTTACATTCATACAACACTAAACAGACTTCTCCACAGCCAATGAGGGCGCCGTTGGTTCAATGCGTCGCCATCTTCACACAATCTGTACAAGTGACAGCTACCTGTCCCATGAGCCTGAAAACTCCGCAATTCCTCCTTGTATTGAACCAAGTCAGCACAAAAAGAGCTTATCTACAGGGGATCCGCTCAAAGAATCAAAGTAATTAACATCCATAACCAGGTCTCCCAGATCCTCTTCTTGGACAGTGTGCACGATGTCTAAGTACCAAGGAACAAGCTCACGGCCGAGAATTCCAGTCTCCGTTGTATCAAGCACAAACAAAAAACCTGGTGCCAGCCAGTTCCGAGAGCACGTACGATCAGTCTGGCTGCAGTCTGGCATGGGGGCCAACCAAACGATGTTGCGCAAGGACATGGTCTGGTCATACGGGACCTTGGAACCCTTTTGACAGAATCCAAGATTCAACGGGAAGCGCTTTTCATCGTAAGCCGGAAACTCCCTGGCATGAAAAAGGATGCCGAGTCGGCCAGTGTTGTGAGCAGTGAACATGTGGCCGTGGAATAGGTCGTAACGACTCAAGGAGATATTCAAGCCAACAGATGGTGCCAGCTTCTCGATGGTTCGAAAGAGGAACGTCAGGTACTCATTGATCTCAGGAGTTTTAAAGCGCCTTCCGACATCGAACTTGGTAAGACTGCAGCTGTCCTCGTTCATTTGTTCCACGTCTGGGATCGCATAGGTGGAGCTCTCGAGCTGATTCAAGACGATGGACAAGTCCCCACCCCATTCCACGCAACTTCTCGCGAGCTGGAGGACGGCTGCAGGGGGCGAATTGATCAACCGGCCGAGGTCATTCGACAGATTCTCAATCCCTACTTCGGAGTGTAGGTATTCATAACCCACACTTCCTTGTGAGTCCGCCACAAGGAATGGCGAACTAGGAACCAAGCTGCGCACGCAAGCTCGAAGCTCTTCAGCACGGGAGAGCTCAACGGAGGACTCCGCTTCCTCTCCGCCGAAGAGCGAGAACAAATCGGAGGCGCACTTCCGCCTCGAGGCATCGTCCTGGTCTGGATAGTCTTCGTCCTTGATCTGAAGCTCTCTTGACAACGAGGAGGATACACTCCTCCACCCACTCTTCCTCCCGACTTCGGAAGCGACCTTCTCCTCTTGAAACAGCAAGCGCCGTTTTGTCGACTCATTTTGATTGGCCCGGCCTCCTGCTGCTGCTGCTCGAGGAGTCCACTCAGCACACGAAAAAGATAATGACAGCACCAGCATACCCACCACGATCAACAGCAGCGATCTGCAATCCCTAATCATCCTGATCTGTAACGCACCCCTGTCTGTACAGAGGCATAGATCGACAACAGCACCATCACCCCAATCCCTTTATTTTTCCCTCCTGTCCAACCACGCCTCGGCAACTGCCACACGCACTCATCCGATCCCGTGCCCGCAGCTCGGCTCGACCCCAACGGACAAGAAGCAGAAAAGCTTCGGAAAGGCACGAGCGTGAACAGAAGCATTACTGCTGTGATACCATCCTAATCTACGACCGCCACAAAGTTCCAACGAGACATGGGCTTTTCGGGTCCGAGGCCTCCACCTCCTCCATGGGCCACAGGCGAACCCACGCCCCCAGAGTGGATACGAGGCGAGCCTTGGGTGCTAGAATGAGAAAGCCTCCGACCCATCGCACCGCGCCCTACTTGTACAAAATACGTGCGTGCGCCGCTGGGGCTGAGGCTGAGGCTACGGCGTGCACATGCTCGAGGCAGAACGAGTCGTGCCTAAGCGAAAAGCGGTCGCGCCATCGCCACAAAGCTGATCAACAATATTAAACTGCCCCGTGCCAATCGCTTTCCCACAGCCCGGATTTGGCCGACGGTGAGTGCAGACGGTGGGTGGAATTAGACGGATTCTGCATTGAGGATTCCCGATTCTGGATTCTGGACTGGCAACGTGAGGTCGCCATCGAGACTGCAGCAAAAGCTGCAGAATTGCGTGTGTGCCCTCCGATCCTCCCCCACACGCGACCTGCTTCGACCACTGTTATCGATCCCTCCCTCTTCCAGCTCCCATTCGGGACAGGCTTCCCTTGTCCCCCGACCTCCCCTCCCTCCTCTTCCGTCCCCAAACCTCGTCGCAGAGACTTTTTCTTGCCCGTGCCGTCTCTCACTCTTCGGGAACAGCCAGTGCCAAAGATGCCCAAGCCCTGCAGCCCAACTGACTAGCCTTTTATTCCGTTCGTTCTAGCATGACCAAAAAGAAACCACCTCCTCCTCCTTGTGGCGTGATAATCCTGACCTCTCGTGGTTAACTGGCATCACTTCGTGCGACAAGCGACCCGACTACGTGAGCAGTCATGTTTTGCAGTATCTTTTATGGTCTGGCCGATATTTTATGAATATAATAATATAAATTCTAGATGTATTTCTATTGATTTATAGAATATCTGTAAAGAATGGAAAATGAATAAACTTAAAAAACTGAAATAAAATCAAAATTATTATGAAAATTTTTTAAAAAATTATAAAATATTTTCTACAACTAAATTATGAATAAACAGATTTATTGAGAAGTCGTTAATTTGGAATCTCAAATCCATTTAATTGTCAAGGAAAGGAAGGAAATCACCGCAGAGACCGAATAATTCTTGGTGGAAGGATGAGAAGACGCCATAACTAGTACATGGATGATACCGAGACGGTACAATGGGAAGAGTTAGAACCAGGACTCCTGGACTTATAAATACACTAACCATCGTGTATTTATAAGTCTGAAGGGACTGGAAAATGTTTCTTTGATGTCCATAATTTTTTTTCTCTCATTCCAGTGAAATTAATATTTAAAACCAAATATATTTTAATAAAAATACATTTGAATTAAAGGTTTGGCTATAGATAAGGGGTAAAGTAAAGATAGAGCTAAATGGACTACTCGGTGATTACTAGTAAGTTTTACTTATTGCAAAAGACAAAATTCATTGAGTAAATTCATCGAAATTGTCAAGCTCGAATTCTAAACCCCCGCCAGTAGAGAACATACAATGGTACGTTCTCTATTTGCTCAATTTGTCCCACCAAAGCTCTTCCAAGGGAAATCTTCAAAAATCATCGATATGCCGCAGTCCTCATGGCAACACCACTCCATTCAACAACGAATTCAATTGTACCTTCCGCAGTTGAGTATTCCACATTCCCGCTCCACTCCCTTTCTCTGAATTGTCCAAGTGTGCTCCTCTGTGTTCAACCTCTACCTTTTAGCCTAAAAGGTAAATTACAGGGTAAAGTTAAAGTAAGGTAGAGGTAATAGTATTACCTCTACCTTTTACCCTAAAAGATAGCTTTCCCTCTTAGGGTTACCAGGCAAGAGTAACTTTTAAGAATTTGTGGCAAGGGTAACTTTTAAGAATCTGTACCTCGTAACCCGGTAATTAATTATCTGGAGGTAAAGGTAGATATCGGGTAATTACCCGGAAGTAGAGGTAAATAATAGCGGTGAGGGTAACCCGGTAATTAATTACCCGCAGGTAAAGGTATATAGTAGTAACCAGGTAATTAAAGGTAGATAATAATAACCGGCTAATTACCCGGAGGCAGAGGTAAAGGTAGATAGTAGCCGTGAGGGTAACCCGGTAATTAATTACCTGGAGGTAAAGGTAGATAATAATAACCGGGTAATTACCCGGAGGCAGAGGTAAAGGTAGATAGTAACGATGAGGGTAAGGCCCATGCGTTACCAGTAACCTTTTCTATATGAGACTTACACTTGAATTTGCCAACTATGATTCAACCTTCAACACAGTAAACTCGTTTTACTTCCACATGCAATATTCCAAAACTGTCATATCAGTATTGCTGTAACTAAACCTCGGCAAAGTTAAGGTAACACTTTAGGGTTACCTTAACCTGTAAAAGGTAAGGGTAAAGATAATACGTTTGGCTATAGGGTAAGGTAAATTACCCGGCAATTATCGGGTAACACGCGAAAAAAAATTGTGGACATTCTTCTGCAAAGATTAAACGCTTCTTACGACAAACCTCGTATATTGAAAAGCAAAAACGTGGACGAGGCTTAGTCGAGAGTTCGAGCCTCTTTCGGCCCCACCTTTTTGTGTCCATCACAACAAGCTATGTGAAACTCCGTGGTAATGAGCGATACAAGAACCAATCCGCAGTCGAGAGAAAGTCTTGCCAAAGTACAATAAGATTGCAGTAAAAAAGTTGTAATTTTTGTAACCGTAAGTGCCAACTTTCAGTAATTGTTGCTACCATATCTGTGGATCGGAGAACATTACGAGATATTGATGTTTCTCTTGAGCACAACAAAGAAACTAGAACGGAGTCTCGCAGTCAGGTGCTCATGCCATGCTATCGAAAAACTCTGCTATTTCCTCCACACCCAACCTACCTGTTGCTGTCACATCCCCTATCAAACTACGACTATCAAACTAGTAAAGGTAGATTTACCACGTAACACTAATAGGTTAACGTTAAGACTAACTTTTAAAATTTTTAAATCCTTAAAAGGTAACCGGGTAATTACCCTGAGGTAAAGGTAGACCATAGCGCTATATGTAAGGTAAAAGGCAGGGTAAAGATAGAGGTTCATGCGTTACCCAGTTACCTTGCCTAGGGTTAGCTGTAACCTTGGTAAATACCTTCAAACAAAGATTTACTTGCTATCAGATAATGAAAACAACAATCTCGTATGCACGTCACCTGCTCTCCGTGTCACACACACAAGTTTGACACACCTAAGTACACAATCTACAGCTCCAGATTATTATACACGTCAAATTTTTCCTGGTTACGGTTCCGCTCAATCAGCTAGCAAAGTGTTCACGGTTGCTAATGGTGAGGGGATGCCGATTTCCTATTAAGGGCGAGTTTGGCCTCATCTGGAGAGCGTACGGAACTATCCGCTACACGTGGGTAGCTCGCCGTTGTCAATACAAACGTCATATATCGGGAGACATATATCGGGAGAGCAGTCTGGATATTCGGGACCATGCTCCTAACAGGGTGAGTAGTTGCTCTCCTCTCACACTTCAGTTGCAGTCAAGTGCTGAAGTGATGGTCGTAAATCTCGGTTATTGATCGCATGGCAGGCTAGTGAATCGCAGCACTGCCGCAGGTGTCGTTGGTGATACCCCGGGACGAGTGATCACATGCACGTCGGAAAGGCAAGGATGCTACATTCAAATGTCTGACTTTGCCCAGGGTTCATACTTTGTTCTGTACGTAGGCTCCGACTGAGCTATGTCTCAGGTGAGACGGGAGTACTACCTCTGACTCTACTATAGCTTGGCGAACAACAAGCAAACTAGCTGGCTTTCGCTTGCAGTAAGTCATCTTCACATGTTCATCCTCGTAAGAGCTACTGACAGCTTCGCATGGAGATGAGATCAAAGCGAGGACTGCTTCGGTTCCATTGCTTGAAAGGGCTTGATGAGAGGTGATAGCCGTCAGCCTGACATCCAAACCAAACTCTCGACCAATCTTAATGGTAGTCATGTGAGCAGGACTATCCTCAAACTTAGACCTTCTGACAAGAACTATGCTAGCGACCTTCTTGCTTAAAGTGGCCATGGTTCAGTAGTCTCAACACATCAACCAGTAGAGTAAAACTGTTGAACACACTGTTGTGAAACAACATGCAGTGTTTCTGCATGTATGCATTTTGCGATTCAATCCAATGCACGTATTTACAACACTTTTCACCATAGGTTTAACCTGCTCTGCAAAAATTTCTCACCGCGATTTCTCACATCATCAATCGCGATGATAATTGGGCCTGTAAGAATGTCCTACGAATCTTGCAGTTGTGTTTGTAAACTCTATTTATACAAAGCTCTGCTGATTGAAGAGGCTAAAATCTGCTTGGCCCGTTCACCAACAGTATCCGTATTCTTCGAGGTTCATTAACAAGTAGTTCGATTGCCTATGCACGTGACAGCATGGGTGGAACCAGCCAGTTCAGAGCTTCCATATCCCCTAACGAGCGTCTCAAACCTTGTCTGAATGACTCCGAACCTGAATCCCAACATTTCGTCAATAAAACCTTCAAAAACACGATGAACCTCAGTGACACTATACTGCTCTTTTGTGTAAACACTGACAGTACTAAACTGACGTATATCTGCGACACTATTTAGCAGGACTTTTGCAAAACTACCACAAAATCCACACCAAGGTATCTTGAACCAAATGATGATGATGATGGACACAAATGCTGGAGCAACAACTGACGTACCTTCTGAGTAGGTCTTGATTTGGAGTAAAGTTTGTACAAGCCCTTCGCATGAGTCACGGATCTGATCATGAACCTCGTGCAGAAGTTCCTTCAGACCAATACCAACCCGTCAGTACACTTCAAACTCGATCCTTTAGTCCGTGTTGTAAGATCTCGGACTGAACTTCCAAACTTCCCGAATATGTATTACTCCATTAAAGGGAAGGAAATCACGTTGAGACTCGTATGGGCTTCTAGGTAGTTTACTGATCACTTTGAATATGTATAACATTCTTGTCTGGCTTTTCAAAGAAGTAACCGAACTACCACTACAAGAGATACTATCCAGTCATCCTTTCCCTTCTACTGTTATCCCGTCTTCTTCAAGTAACGATCCTCGCTATTATCAGCACCGAGCGCTGGATCTATGGTTTCAGGCTTGAGAGGCGTATATCAATGAGTAATATTATTGCAACGATGTTCAGCCAGGGTATATGATCTTAGTGTTATGATACACAACTACTGTTGTGTACGACCTTCATCTTTCTTTACACTCCGCAGATGATTGACTAGTCATGAGAGATGAAGACAAACATCTGATCCACAGACTGGCAAAAGTACTTTGCAAAGCATCGACTCTGGATGACATTATAAGCACAGACAAGAAGTGATGAAAGTCTGCGTAAGTCTTACCAGTTCTTCGGCGCCACCCATATTACCGTATAAAGGATCTTCTATATCTTCAATCTGGAGAAAACAGAGGATCCATCAGTCCACTGTTGATTATAGTACTCGCGCGATTTTATCAGACACGTGAAGTCATGCAGGATTCCTCACAACTTAAAGACTTCAATATCTTACTTGATACCTTCAAATATGCCAGAAATCAGCAAAAAACTGCACATCAGATAAATAGAACTCGGTACGGACGTTCGAAGCACATCAAGTCGATGTCTACTTACAGATCTTGTTTGACAAAACTCGCCCATGCGGCGAACTTTGCCTGTGTGTCGGCTAGTCTTGTCAACAGTCTCATAAATAGTCACTTCTTTCAGAACATCAGACGCATTAAACTGGAACGCACAGAACCATATTTTACGTCAGGAAGCTTCCAATTACTTTTAGACCTTATTAAATTCAGTGCCAATGTTATCGAACGCACAGAAGCCCTGAGTTGGCATTAGCAACATTTTGATTTTCACCTACACCTCGGACTAGCTATCACTTAACCAAGTCAACTAGCTCTGTGTTGACGAGCATAGATCTTCTAAAGAATATCATAATTGTTTAGTTATTATCTATCTCATCATGGGCGTTCAAGGTTATAGTGATTGGTTTAACAGAAAAATGCAAGAACTTCAGTACAATATACCGAAACAAGAGAACACGACTCTGACTTAATTTGTAACTTGAAGCTTTTTGATCATGGGAATGTGACCTTGTGACGAGAACACACCTTGTCGAAGACTAAAACAAGATCTGCGTTAACAATGTCACTTGCACAGTCGAACACTACGGAGACTTTCCCTTCCGGTAGTTGAAGACCGCATTCTTCTGCAACAAGCACCACGCGGGGGTCTGGAGATTCTCCTTCATTGTAGTCTCTGACAGCCTGCAGAAGATGCAAATTGCCATTGAAGATTGGGTTAGGAGTTGAGTCATTCTAATTTATATCGAGCTGAGACTGAAACATTGTAACCTGAGTAGGTAAGTCCGAATAGTCTGGACAATCGCATAGAGGAGTGAAGACAATGTTCGATAATAAGGATAGCTTGTGATACAAGCATGGAACAGGCTGCTGAGGAAAAATGTTGGCATCGAATATGCAGAGCTCTCTACGTTTTGTATTGTGGAATAATATATTTAAGATTACTTTAGGAGTGACAAGCTCAAAAAAGCTCAAACTCAGATATTATTTGACTGTTGATAATCGTATGTACCTTTGATGAACATTTTACCAGGTCCTCCAATTTGTGCTGACGAAGGAGGTCAGAAAATATTGCTTCAGCGTACACCGAACGACAAATATTGCCTTCGCTGAGAAAAAGAATTTGAATCCTACCGTCGTCCACTGAATCCTGTTGCAACATAGAAGTCAGTTTCAACCTGTAATGTTTTCAAGGCCAGAAGCTCAATTGATTTGATACTTTTTTTCTTATACTTACATTGGGTCTTATTAAAAGTCTTCAACAGCTCACAATCAAATTACACGCTGTTCCTTGACATTGAAGTGATTCACTGTGGTCTGCCACCACCTTGAACGGAACATTCCTTATATTTATAACAGTAAAATCGAGATAAGCAAAGTAAAGCGAAGTCCGATTCGGCAGGCACCTATTGAGCCGCTTCATGTCGTAGGCATTACAATGTGATCCTAAAAAGCGTCTTTCTGGGCATCCGAAATAGACAATTCCTTTCTCCATTGAACAAACAAAGTATACCAATTCTATTGATCCCCTTGGTCATTTTATCATTTCAATTACAAGAGCCTGGGAACAGCATGCTGATAAATCCGACTTTTTATGAGCCATTACAAAGATCGATTAGAGATTGTGATGTACTGCTGGTATGAATCCAGTCTCACAACGAAATTGGCAGCTAGTGAGCTGATGAAATTGAGGTGATTTTTTTGAGAGTGATGAAACCACCGAAAGTAGGATTCATTCTTTGATCTAGCATTCCCTTTTTCTTTACCTCAGGGTAGACTGGCATGTGTACACGATGACAGTTCAAACTTATCGAGCATCTGACTTAACTCAGTCATGTATGATTAAGCGCCAGTCAAAAAGGAGAAGAAAGTTGAATACCGAGCTCGGCGACTTGATTGGAGGTGACCGGAACACGGGCGTGACACAATTGCTGCTGACATCCCAATTCTGTTTGGAGTCATCCCTCTGGTCCGAGTTTCTGTCTGCGACCTCCTTGGATTCCTCGGCTGCACATGCCCGAGCTCCTGCACGGCATCTTCTCTCCGCTGGGCTCAAAGTCAGCGACCACGGAGCAGCGAGCGGGACGGCCCTAGGGGAGTAGTAGGATTTAGGACCTGCGGATTTCAAAGAGCTCCATAAAGCATCGCCGGAGTTCCTGGACGCAGGGACTTTAAGATCAACGAGCGAATTATGCTGCGAGAACAGACACCGAGATTGAATGAATACCGCCATGGCTCACCGCTTCTGACTGACTAACTCGCCCGAGCTCTAATCCGCCCTCCTCCGCATTATTCGACCGGACACATTTTATCTTTTCAGTGCGGCAGAAATCGAATCTCGCGCTCCTTCCTTCGACCTTCGACCTTCTGCTGCTCGACTTCCGCCGAACGAATCTGCTCTCTCCTGTCTTATCTTTTGGATAAGCATTTTGTCCGCTTCCCTGTTGACGACTGAATCTGCCACTTTGGACACAGCCACTGACTGACGGTCACTGTGTGCGTCTCTTAGCGCATGATCGTTCTTCATTTTCAATCAGGACGACCCCTCGGTAAGTAACACGAGACTTTGAGCTCGTTTTATTGTCCCATTTATGCATTTAGTCATAAATAGATAACACGCATAAAAGTGGTGGCAACCTGGTGAGCGATAGATGACCCAGCATGTGTTGAGAACTGCATCGATCAGAGAGTTTTCTCCCAAGGGTCGTAAGGCTATATATATATATATATATATATAAACAATATTACATTGTAACAATTTGTTTTATCTAATGGTGTGCTTTACCTTACTTAAGATTCAGGAAATAAAATACTAACTGCGTGTTTCGTCTTTGTCGTTTCTCGACTAATAATGGTGGAGCTACATAGAGTTGTATGTGATTGTCCATAAATTTAAGTTGGTGGTAGCCGAATTGTATTGATATTATATTTAATTTAATGTAATCTATCTAATAAATTATAGACGGAGATGATCCTATAACACCAAAGTCAAATATACGAAAACAAGAAAAATGTCAATTCATTACTTATACACGGCACTTTCATGACCATTATTTGACCATTCAAGCTGAATGTTGGAACTGAACTTTCTTTAATTGGTAAATGTACCAATGGCATAGACTTGATGCACACAAGTGTCTCAAATATATACCATCATTAAGAACAAATGAAGTTGATAAATTTTATACATACATTGAAATTTTAATTCTAAATCATCACATCCATCTAATTTTGAATGGGATTAAAAAAAAAAAAGTCTTGCACAATTGAAGATACTGATGATGTAGTTGATATAATTCATTTCATGAAAATTGTTACAAAACGTGAAAAACTATATATGTAATTATAAACCATAAATTATTTGGGAATTTTGATTATGTTTTAGATATTACCACTACTTTTCAAATGTAGATGAAAATGATCAAAAATAAACACTAAAAAATGGTATATTTTTTTAAAAATTTAGATAAAAAACTAATGTTGGTTTAAAAATTATCAATTATGAAATCATGTTTCAAACAAAAATTCTTAAACAAGTACAATATATATTTTTGAAATTTAAAATTTATTACACAAAAATGTTTGTGATGATAACAAAGATTTGGTTTATGAAATAAAATAGACATATATAATATTAAATATAAAAACATGCAAATTTATGTTTTTGATTAGAATCAAACATTTTTTCAAAATATTTTGTGTCATAATAATCCATTATTTTTATATTATAATATAATAAATTTTATAAATTATTATAAGTTTGAAAATATTATATTCAAGCTATATTTTATGTATGCAACTTTGATCTTAATCATTGATTATATTAATGTATCGAGGAAGTCATATGAATAATTTAAAAAAAAATTTGATTTCAAGAACATTTTGGATAAATCAAAATAAAAGATTCTAAAATTTTATCAAATATATTGATTCGGCGAAATATATATGTTTTAAAGATCAGAAACAAAATATTTCATAAGTAATAAATATGAATATTTAAAACCGTCAATCTAAAAATAAATTCTCAGTACTTATAATAATCAAAAAATCATAAATTCTAAAATATTTTGTTTGTTTTCATATTTATATCATTTTTGAACATAAATATTATATATAAATATATAAATATATATTAAAATTCAAATCTTATTCAATATAAAATATGTTATTTAAATTCTATAATAAAAATTTGTAACAATAGCAACAAATTTAAAATGTTTGTTGATCTTTTATTTCAAATTTAGAAATATTTTTTTGACAATTATCATCATTGTTTATCTTTTGTTGCATGATGCGATTGTGAATTTTTTTTTCTGATCATATCAATGAGCAAACTTATTCCAATAAAGTGATCTTCATACATTAGTGATGAATTATCATTAATGTATGAATTAATTATCACTAATGTAGAATTTTTCAGAGATGTTCGTTCTTTTGCATCGCTAAAGAGCTGTTGTAGTTCATTCAACAACAACGGGCAGAGCAGTTGTCTCTCGTTTCCACCACTCAAAACTTGTTGATTTTTGTTTAACGGTAACAGACATAAGGAACCGTCGACTTCAAAAATCGTCGACTAAAACTGTCACTTTTATTTATGGCATGCCACAAATACTATTTATGACAAAAATGGCATCAACGCCGCCAATGCCATATTTGAAGAGTCCCGGTGATAATCATCTTCAAACATTTATTATATTCATGCAGTATATATTTTAAAATTAAATAAAAAATAAAATAAATCATTATTTATTATGTTTATTAATATTTTATTATTTTTATTTTTAGTTTTTCAAAATTATCAAGTATATATTTTTGTAAATAAATTTTTTTTTAAATAAATTTATATTTCTTAAGTAATTTTTTTAAACAATCTCACTTGAAATTTTTTATCCAACCTAAAGAAAAAAATGTCAATACGTCAACGTAGTTATACACATTGCAATTAATTTGCAAACTACATCATTTTATTGAAATGATTAAATTTGTAACATGAATACATGTTTCAAAATTAATTTAATTAAATAAATTAAGTATGCTGTCGAGTTTGCACGGAGAGAACAAAAGCTATGTCTCTCTATCATAAGAGTTGAAGCGATCCAGCCGAAGGCCAGGATCAATTATTTGGAGCACTGACGGAGCTGGCAACACAAAAATCACTGAAAAATCCGCAACAGAGAACCCGCAGAAAAGACCATCCAACCAAATTTTCATAAAAACGCCAGAAGATTGTGTCACCGCACGTCAGCAGTGTTATCAGAGACATGGATGTAATGTCCTGGTAACCGAGTCGTCAAGTTTATAAGACGTAATTATTCAATGAACTCCACGTAAGATGAACTACACACACACTTGAGACAGTGATCGAGTTCACTGAACTCGGTCGTAGCATGTTGGGTCACTTCATATTGTGATTCACATCAGTGCCGCTAGAACTGCGGCCTATGAGATTGAGGGTCAAGCTATCATCTTCGGGCGACAGTTGCTGCTCACTCCACGTGCTCTGTAAAAATCGACAGGGCTAGACATTTATTGACAAGTTGACAAAATAGCATAACCAATGAGCCTATCAGAGATTTCAATGCTCGGGACAGTGCATGATATATTTTTAAGATAAAAAAAAATCATTTCTCATTTATGTTTATTAATATTTTTTGTTTAGTTTAGTTTTTCAAAATTATCAAGTGTATGTTTTTGTAACTAAATTCTATTTTATAAAAAAAGTATATTTCATCAATATTTTTTAAAAAATAATCTCCCTTGAAATTTCTTTATCCAAATCAAATTAAAAAATTTTAAAGATAATATTTGTTTTATTTATCTTACTTTTAAAGGTAAAATTGTGTGTCAAAAAATTTCAAAGTAATATATACAAAACATTTCATAATGTTATGATGTTTTAATTTTTGAAGAAAAAAATCTATATATTTTTTGAATCTCAATAACTATTTAATTTTTTTTCAACACACATTATTTGGATTATTTGATCATTTGTTATATTAGTCCAAAAAACCATTATTTTTTTCAAAAAAAAAAAATCAAATATAAATTTTACGCATAACTTATTAACTGATTAAAAAAATTTCCTTAAGTTTATCAAATATTTTTTATCGATAAAATACTCAGAGTTGAAGATTTTGTTCATATTTTTAAATAAGAACGCTTTTTGTTACTCTGTAGTTTGTGAACTTGTTCGATGTGATTATGGTCTGACTACTTCTGAACTTAGTTTCAAAATCTATAAACTATAAATTCATCATGTTCACACATTGTAAATTTTCAATCACACAATTGGAAAGAGTATGACATTACAAGTCATCTTCTCTTTGGTTGGATAATTGATTGCCATTGGGCGAGAGCATTATAATCTTGTCATCTTTCATTGCAACCACGGTCACTCATAAAGAGATCAATAATACTTCAATTGACTGCTGAAATGTCTTCGTGTACGAAGCCAGCCACGTGCTTCTTAGAAAAGCCAAGAAATTAGATTAAACTAATAGGTACTCATCTCCCGACCATTAGAAAAAAGTTGTCTCAAACTCTAATTTGTATCCTGCATGTTTGGAGTTTTATTGCTCTTGTCATCATCATCTTCATCGTTGTTGTTAGCTCTTCATAGGTTCTTGAATTTTCACGTTGAGTACTTTTTGCTCATGATGTTCTTCTGAACGACGAGGAGCTATAAATTTTAACATAAAACAAAAAAAAACATACAGATTACCATAAAAATATTTTGCATAATGTTTTTAGTATAAAATTTTAATAATAATATAAATTTAAATTAAATTAATAAATGATATATCATGTTAATAGTAAAAAAAATATTATAAAGTAAAAATATCATGATTAAAATATGCTTTTATTCTACTAACAATTTCAATAAATAATAAAATCTTACAATAGCAAAAAATTATCATGTTTAATGTATCAAAATTACGACATTTAAATTTATTTTAAAAATTAATTTTATAACACATTCTTTTACTCAATATTATTATTTAAAAAAATTTAAAAAAATTTACCATGAATATCATTATTTTTTTGATAAAAAATTCAAAAAGATGTAATTTAATAATTTAAAATTATATGACATGATTAATATGTTATTCATTATTGGTATTATTTTAATAATTTGAAATGATGGTTATTTATATTTCTTGATCAGATTTGATATGAACATAAATAATGTACTTTAAAATTTAATATTCTATATTGCTATGTTATTGTATCAATTAAAAAATGTTATACTTGATTACATGACATATTTATTTTAACTTATGATAGATTAATATACTAATAAATTAATATACTATCCGCGGCTGGCGAGGCTAGGGTGCTGTTTTCTGTTTTTTTGATAATCTGGATGCTTAAACTTC